AATTCGCTATGAAGTAATTCCTCCAAATACAACTTTATGTGTCTAATATAATCGTGAATATTCGCATATTTTCTCGAAAGTTTATAAAAGTTACCGTGAAGTTTCTGTATGAAAAGTACAAATCGACTTTAGTGCTAGAATACATCTTTAATGTAGATCTAATACACAAACAGAATCTGTTACACTCCAGAAATTCCTTACTTTTAAAAAAACGCTAAGTCTAGGTTTTGTAAGCTGACTGAATAATAGGAATGACTTCTCGTAAATGGGTTATAAGAATAATTTCTGGCTTTCCAGGAATATGGAATCAGCACCAGACTTTTCCAGCTTTATTTTTCGTTTCTATGACCATTTACAATAACTGACAATGTGACTGATTTCTTTACATTCATAATTGTGTCCGTGCATATTTCCGACACAAAAACTAAGAATGAATGTGTTAGCTGTCATTATTTTTATTCCATACAAAAAGTTTATCTCTACCCATGTATTTACACGGTTTTGTGGGTTTTTTAGATAGCTTAAATCTATATTATATCTTTTTAGTTGTATGCAGGCTGCCACAGACACAGCATGATTCATGAACAAACGCAGAGTAACTTTCTCTTGTTTAATAGTAAAATAAGAGCTAACGCTGATCGTCTTTAGTTAAATGCAGATGTGCATCTTTCTTCTCTTATAACTTGACTACTACTACTCGCGTAGATTTAAGATTTCTCATGGTAAAAGACATGATATTCGTAGTCAGTGTAACACAGGTTTTGGAGAGATTTGTCGAGCCTTTTTTAAATTAACAATCATTTATTCATAAGTTTGTAACTAAAATAGGACAAATTGGATACTCTACAAACACTTGTTTAGAACAAAAACTAAGGCACAGAAATTAACTATTCTAACGCAGAATAAATCTCAAGACATTGAGCTTTTAGTACATGCGTGTAATGGTTTGCTATGTGGGAAGGGACAGAAGTTATATCGTTTTGAACATAGACAAAAATGCGAACTTCCTGACCGACACCGGCAAAGTCGCTTCAGGGCTCATTAACCCCGTGACCCCAAGCTGGGGAGCTCCGGCAGGCTGCTGAGTCATGCTAACTAAAAGTAACAGAATCGGGCGAAAAGTGACGCCGTGTTCAAGAAAGTCCTTTTTTGTCTCTCCTGTAAAATTTGAAAAACATGACTTACCATAGTTTACTTGGCGGCCCTCGAATGAATCAAATATACTTCTTTCTATGTTACCAATGCCCAAAAACACACCAATTCACACAATTTTACAGCCAAAATCTCCAAATACTCACAATGACCAAGTGGTATTGATAGTGCAGTAAAACATGAGGCATCGTGGTGAAATCAGGTGCTCATCAAAATAATGAAATGGAAGAAAACAGCATTTTTCTGCAGTGTTGGGCAATTTTGATTGATTTTTATTTTTTTGGACTCAACACTTTTTATGTTCATTCAACAACTCATTTCTGTGTGAATTATACTTGAAAACATTGTTCAAAAGCACATAAAGTGTAAATCTGCAGTTTCTAATGACTCTCAAGCTTTGGATGTCACCAAAATTTGGCAGCCAATTTCTTGCTACTTTTACCTCTGCTACCAGGTGACCCCTACCTCCTTTAAATGCAAACAACTCGACTTCTGTTCATGATAGATGAGTATTTTTTTCTTTAAAAGCAAGACAAATTAATGACCAAGCTTTAAGATGACATCAATAACTCATGCCCAAAAATTGACGAGCACCTGATTCCACCGTATCATGGTACATATACTCAAACAAACATGTAAATTATGATGTACATGCATATTGCTCTATCTGAAAAGGATTTCTTATAGTACTTATACCTCTGATGGCACAGGGCAGTAAATAGGTGATGCGAGACTATTTCATCCTAGCAATCATACAGTGGACAGACAGGATCATTACTGTGTCAATGTGCTTCTCTTTACTCAAACAAACAAACAAACAAGCAAACAAATAAATCGCTGTCTCCCCAGAACGCCCTGGACCATGATGAGAACCTGCTACCCCTAGGCTACCATCTGGCCCGGATGCCTGTGGAGCCACACACGGGCAAGATGATTCTGTTTGGGGCCATGTTCTGTTGTCTTGACCCCATCCTCACTGTGGCAGCCAGCCTCAGCTTTAAGGACGCGTTCACTGTACCGCTGGTGAGTGCTTGAGGGATTGAGAATGTTTTTACTGTACCTTTGACACAATCATGTGGGTGGCTGGAGCATGCCACTTGTAGCTTCTTACTTTTCTTTTCTTTCACTCTGTTATTTCTGTCCTTCAACAATTAACATTGGTGAGCGGACGGTCACTTACACCCCTCCCTCACTCTTAAATTGTAGAGACTTGTACAAGGTCTTTTAAATAGTGCTTTTTTCGTGGAAGGGGAGACTGGCTTGTAGTTCCTTGTGAGTGGTTGGCTGATGCTCTGGTGTGGTTGGCTTCTCTTTTCCTATCTAACATCTATCATCCTTATCTCTTCTCCTTTTTTATGTTTGTTACTCTCTTGTAACACCTTCAATTTTTGGTTCATGTGTGACCTAATTTTTTTTCTAGTGCC